AGCAATTTTTCAAACACTCTTGAGGACCGATACAAGAGTCTAACTGAAATTTTCAAAGAAACTTTTTAAAACCCACAGTTGAAAAGCAAACAAACCATTTTGAAAACACAAATGAGCAAGTATCTAAGAGCCCATGGATAACCATGGATAGAAAGGGTGCTAACACCTTCCCTTTCTATAACCTACCTCCCGAACCGAGAGCAATCTCTTTAAGGAATTTTTCTATGCTTTTGTCCTTTCCATTTGGAGAAAATAAAAGACGGTGGCGACTCTTGCTTCCGCGACATTTTGCGAACCAGCGTTAAACAGTCAGTTCCAGATCCACCGATCACACCAAGATTGTATTTTATTTTTAACAACAAGAAGTAGAAGTTTACTCCTTAGTTAACAAATTGGCATTAGAGCAAATGACAAACATGATGAATCAAATGTCGTTGCCACGACTAACAAAGTCAAATTATGAAAATTGGAGTACTCAAATGAAAGCTCTTCTTGGATCTCTATGCGCGTGGGATATGACCATAGATGGGTTTGAAGAACCAACAGATGTTGGGGGATATACGACAGCTCAAAATAAGGCCCTGAAAGAGATGCGATCGAAGGAAAAAACGACACTATACATGTTGTTCAGGGGTGTAGAAGAATCAGGTTTTGAAAAGATTGCTGGTTCGACTACGTCGAAAGAAGCATGGGACACGTTAGAAAAAGTGTTCAAAAGAGCCGATCGAGTGAAGCAAGTTCGACTCCAAACTCTTTGCGGAGAATTGGAGAGGATACAGATGAAGGAGACATAAATTATATCTGACTACATCACACGTGTACAAAAGGTGGTAAACCAATTCACCAGAAATGGCGAAACAATAACTGATGCACGAGTTGTTGAAAAGATCTTGAGATCTTTAATAGATAAATTTGAGAATATTGTGTGTGCAATAGAAGAGTCGAAGGAACTTTCTACGCTCTCAATCGAAGAGCTCGTTGGTTCTATCGAAGTACATGAACAATGAAAGATGAAAAAGAAGGAAGAAGCAGTCAAAGAAGAAAATCAAACCAAGGATTCGAACAAAGATGAAAAGGTACTCTTTTCTCAAAACTTCAGAGGAAGAGGACGCGGCCGTGGAGGTCGTGACAATGGTCGAAGTGGTCGAAGCAGCAACTTTGAAAGAGGACAATCGAACCAACAAAATTGGCGTGACAGAGGACGTGGTTAAAGAGGTGGTCGATCGAACCACTCCAACTTCGAATGCTACAAGTGTGGGAAGTATGGTCATTATGCAAAGGATTGAAACTCCTACACATGTTACAACTGTGATACAGTGGTACATCTTGCAAAATATTGTCGAATCGAAAAGAAGATTGAAGAAACAACCAATCTAGCCTTAGAACCTGAAGTGAATGAAGGCTTTCTCCTGATGGCTCAAAACAAAATCAACACCAATAATGACAGTGTTTGGTATCTTGAATTAGGAGCAAGTAATCACATGTGCGGTTACAAACATCTGTTTAAAGAAATGAAGAAAATTGAAGATGGTAATGTGTCTTTCGGAGATGCATCAAAAGTGAAGGTCGAAGGAAAGGGCACAATCAGTTACTTGCATAAGAATGGCTTGATTGGATCAATCGAAGATGTTTACTATGTGCTAGATCTCAAGACCAACATCTTAAGTTTGGGGCAACTTACATAAAAAGGTGTTTCGATACTTATGAAAGATCGAATACTGCATTTGAAGGACAAAGTAGGACATCTGATCGCCCGTGTCGAAATGGAAAGAAAATGAATGTACAAACTGAACCCGAGGAACGTTCGGGAGAAATGTCTGCAAGTTGAAATGCAAGACAAAGCGTCATTATGGCATATGCGCTTTGGTCATCTACATCATGCTGGTTTGAGAAGGTTGACAAAAAGGAACATGGTGCATGGACTACCAGACATGGATTATGAAGGAAATTTTTGTGAATAATGTGTCCTCAACAAACAAACAAGAACCTCATTTCAAAAGAAGGCATAATATCAAGCTAAACATATTCTCGAATTGATTCATACTGACATATGTGGGCCAATCACTCCAAAATCCTTCAGTGGAAAAAGGTATTTCATTTCCTTTATCGAAGATTTCTCACGAAATACCTGGGTTTATTTCTTGAAAGAAAAGTCTGAAGCATTAGAGGTGTTAAAAAAGTTCAAAGTAATGGTGGAGAAGGCAACAGACAGACATATCAATGCAGTTCGATCTGACAAAGGTAGTGAGTACACTTCGACGACCTTTATGAAGTATTGTGAAGAGCAGGGCATAAGGAGATTCCTAACTGCACCATCTATAGAAATTATTGATGCAGTCGAAGAATCATCTATAGATGTACCAACAAGCATCTCAACAGAACATGAAGATACTGAAGATGAGGATGAACCTCTACAACCCAGAATGCAAAGTTTGTAAGATTTATATGATTCGACAAATGAGGTACACCTTGTGTGCCTTCTGGAAGATGCTGAAAACATCAGTGTCAAAGAAGCGTTACGAGACAAGAAGTGGAAAAGTGCCATGGACGAAGAGATTGGAGCAATAGACCGCAACAACACTTGGGAGCTAGTCGAATTGCCAAAAGGTAGTTAACCCATTGGTGTAAAGTGGGTATTCAAGAAAAAGATGAACGCTCAAGGAGAAATCAAACAATTCAAAGTGCGACTTGTTGTGAAGGGATACAAACAGAAAGCAGGAATTGACTATGACGAAGTGTTTGAACCTGTTGCAAGAATGGAGACAATTCGATTGCTCATTTCTCAAGTTGCTCAATTCAAATGGCCAATATTTCAAATGGATGTCAATACAACATTTTTGAATGGTGTACTCGAAGAAGAAATCTATGTCGAACAACCACTTGGATATATGAGAATTGGAGAAGAGAAGAAGGTGTTGAAATTGAAGAACGCGCTATATGGGCTGAAGCAAGCACCACTGGCATGGAACACACACATTTACACATATTTCAAAGAGAATGGATTCGAACAATGTCCTTATGAACATGCCCTCTATGTGAAGAAAAATGGAAGTAATGTATTACTTGTTGCTCTCTATGTTGATAACCTTATTTTTCTAGGAAGTGATGTTCAGATGATAGAAGAATTCAAGAGCACCATGACACGCGAATTCGAAATGACAGACTTAGGTATGATGAGATTCTTTCTTGGTATGGAGGTTCGACAAGAAGAAACTGGAATCTTTATCTCAAAAGAAAAATATTCAAAAGAAATCTTGAAAAATATAAGATGAAAAACTGCAATCCAACTTCGACGCCAATGGAACCGGGTGCAAAACTGTCAAAATTTGATGGAGGAGAACGTGTCGAAGTAAGAAAATACAAAGATTGGTAGGTAGTCTTCGCTATCTCACATGCACAAGGTCAGACATTTCATTAAGTGTTGTCATTGTAAGTCGATTCATGGAGGAGCCAGTACACACACATTGGAAGACATTGAAACGAATCCTAAGGTACATCTAAGGAACGATGTCACTTGGAATGTTTTATTCAAGAACAGAAGACTACAAGTTAGTTGGTTACTCTGACAATAACTGGTGCGGAGATATAGACGATCCAAAAAGAACTTATGGATATGTGTTCTTCATGGGAAACACTGCATTTACTTGACTTTCTAAAAAGCAACCTATAGTAACACTTTCGACGTGTGAAGCTGAATATGTGGAAGCATCTTGGTGCGTTTGTCATGCAGTATGACTTAAAGATTAATGAGAAAAATGGAGCTAAAACAGGAAAGCACAACTGTAATACAAGTTGACAACAAATCAACAATCGAGTTGGCAAAGAATCCAGTGAACCATGAAAAAGAAGCAAACACATTGATGTTCGCTTCCACTTCATTCGAGAACATGTGAAGGAAGGAAGTGTTGAACTGAGGCATGTAGCAAGCAAGGATCAAGCAACAAATATGTTCACTAAACCATTATCGAAAGAAATTTTCGACCGAGGCAAGAAATTGATAGGCATGATGGATGAAAGAAACATTTAAGTTTACAGAGGAGTTTTGTTGAATAAACTTTAAATGCTAGTGGATATTTTTTTATTAAATAAGATAGTGGGAAGGTTAAAAATCGAATGTAATTTAGAAGGTCAAGAGATAGTGGGTTATAATAGTATTTACTAATCGCATTTACTTTCCTAGAATAGTAGAAGTTTTTGGGTTATATAAAGACCAAGATTGTATTTTATTTTTACCAACAAGAAATAAAAGTTTGCTCCTTATTTAACGGTCTCGACATGATATAACGGTCTTTGATAACATTAAATAAAACCTATAAAGGTTAAGAAGTTTAACTACCACAGTCTAAGAATATAGTATGTCATAAAAAATGAGTTGCTTTATTAATCACTATCAAAGAATATTTCTTTTCTTTCCTCGATGATGTATTATATTAGTACTTGAATTTAAGTTAGAACCTGAATATGAAAGCTTTTGCTCGTACTATACTATATGCTGAATAAATTAATGTTACAAAATTGAAACTCATCATCATCTATTACCAAAGAAAAAAATAAAGTTTGATCTCACTGTGTGAGCAACAAACTTTAATCCCTTAAAACAATACCTTTTATGTTAATATCACAAATATAAATCTCTCTGATCTATCACTCATTTGTTCTAACTTTTAGCAATGTCAAATTCTAACAGTTTCGACACATGAATGTAAACATGAGGCTTGATATATTCACTTTCGAAACATAATTCAAAGACTTTGTCGTGCTCGAGTCTGGAATAAAATCATGTTGAACCAGAGAAACTCAGTCTGCAAAATGCTGATTCTTTAGAGAATTCCAAAGGGTTACACCACCATATAAACGCGTCTAGACTTTTGGGATTAGCTGATACATGCCTCAGAGTATTAAGAAGCAGATCCCAGTCAATTCTGCACAAATTGAATCAACAATCAACCTCTTATTCTCATAAAATCCATCACATGAAACCTATAGAACCAACAACAACCTTAAGATTTCAGAACCAAAAATTTGTTACATGTTAACCAAAACGGAAATAATAGATGACGGGTATAGTCTAGAAATATCAGACAAGGTTCATCTTTCTCTGATGTCGATATATCAGCCAAAGCTTCTCCTACAGTGAGATATACTCCTTTAAGTCCAAAGCTATCCAAAATCTTCGACATATCTAACTTTTCCATCACATTTCCAACAGAATTTACCAACACAAACTGCAGTAGAAAATAATAACATGTTAGAAAGAGAATAATCAAAGTTTTTTAGGCCGTCTAAAATCAATGTCAATTAGTATTTGTACTTGAAGTGATCTCTTTTCCAGCATCTTTCTAAGTTCACCTAAAGTTTCAAGTCCACTTGTGTCTATTGTTGTAACAGCTGAAAGAACAAAATATTGTTAAGCAAAGATGTTCAAAGCCGATCGATAGTGCCTGATTTTTAAACTCTAACTGATGTTAGAGATGAAATCATTACCTATCATGTCTAAAATTATGCACTTCGATGCATTTCTGTTATTTTCTCTTACACGTTCTTCCTCTTCCTGAACCCATCTCAGTATCCTCTAGTAGGAGAAACTCTTAATCATATGAACCGCGTATTCATTCAAAGAAATATATACTAAACTTAAGAAATTCAAAATCACAAAAATCTTCTCATTGACTCTCTTCTCTGCTGAATCCATATCTATGTTTTATGTCACTTCCGGGACAAAGTTGATATCACTTTCCATGTAATAAAGGTTCTGTTGAGAAGTTACTTATTAGATGATAAACTTCAAACAATGAAAATAAATAAACTAAATAACTAACAGCATAAATCTCATAGAAAAAACGAAATATATAACTAATTGTTGTACTCCAAAATTTACCCTCTTCATTATGATCCTAATTGGTTTATATTTTATTATCATATGCATACATGCATTCCATGAGATCAAGGTATTTTTGTCAACACAACAAAGCTCCTGTATTTTTTCAACGCATGTCGAGTTGCGGAAGACTTTGGTGTTTTCGGTGAATTTTAAGCAGCGTGAATAGGAAACAATTTTTCAACTGATTTGAGTTTGGAAAATCATATCTCCTGTTTGGAATGGTGTTTTGGATTGATTCTTGAGATTCTGAAATGTCTCGAAATTATCTTCAACTTTCGTGTTTGGACCAAAAGCTGAATCTCGAAGGAAAGTCTCTGAATACGCCATTCTTTTGGAAGTTATACAGTGAAAAAATACAAAGGAAAAGTGGGTTGAATCGTTATTTCGTGTGCACTAAAAAATTTCGTAACTCTCTGATGGAATTCCATATACGCATGGTTCTGATTGCCAATATTCCGCCTCAATATCATCTTGATATCGTCTTTGGAGGCTAAAAGCTGATTCACGAAGGAAGGACCTGTGAATTTTGAGTTTCGGAAGACATGTTTGTGTTGAACTGAAATTCATTTGTATTAATGTTTGATATAGTAAAATTCATATCTCACTCAATTGTTATTGTATTGATCTGGGTCTGGTGGTGTTGGTTCACAAATTTTGTCTACTATAACTCATCTTCAGATGCTAAAAGCAAACGGTGACCCGAAGGTTCTCGTTTTTGATCTTTTTCGCGCGTGATGCAATAAAATTCTGCACAGGAAATTACTTTTGCCTGACACATCGTCAGTGAAACTTCAAAAATTCATAACTTCCTCGTAGTTTATCCGATTGAGACCGTTCTTTCGGTAATGCGTCAAAAATTGATTATCTTAATTTTTCGTGTTGGGACTTTTTGAAGATTCCGTACGGATGATGACGTGGCACTTTTGATATGTGTCAGACTTACGTTTTCAAGTCAAGGCCCAACCAAATTGCACATCCAAGGCCCAATTTGCTTACACCATATAATCTCAAATCTTATTTTTGTTAAAAGAGAGAGCTCTCATAATTCACAAATTCTCATAAACATAAAAATCTTTTCTCTCAAATTGCTCAAAGATCAAATCAAAGTTTTCTCTATTTTTTAGTCAAGAACACAACAACAATTTCATCAAGATCAAGAGAAATTCTTCTCCGATTGTTGATATGTTTGTTGCGATCTCTATAGCTAAGCCTCCTCTTCACTTCTAACGGTGAACTTTCTTAAATTAATAACTTTTGAAATAAGTGATTATTCGAGAAGCACTTTTTAATCAAGCATGAATTGAATCTATATTGCATTTTGAATTGAGAATATAGATCTAAGCCTAGAATTGTGAGTTGATTTGATCATCATGTGTAAATCCGAAATTGGATAGTTGAATTAAGTGCTTATTGAATTAAGTTGATTCTCATGAATGTGCTTAATTGATGAAACAAATTGATGATGGTGCATGGAGTTTAATTGTTGATCTTAATTAATCATGTGTAGTTTGAATCTAGACCTTGAATTATGCAAAATCATGTGTTGAATGTATGAATATTTGGTGTTTGATCAAATTGCCTAAGTCATGAGCCAAAACCTCAAAAAGTTGGAAAAAAACTACTTTCTACCTGCGGGTAACCGGTTACCACCCTTTCTAGTAACTGAAATTTGAAATATTTGCACACGGTAACCAGTTACCCGGTTATATTAGCCGGCTACCTCAAGTCAGTAGTTGTTTTCTCCAATTTTTGAGTTATGGTAACCGGTTACCCTATTATGGTAACCGGTTACCCAGACAGAAACAACAATTTTTGCTTTGTTTAAATGCATGTTTGTACATATTGCCTTGTTAACTCTAACTCCTTTTGTGAATGTTTTGCAAGTTGCATTGTTAGGCCTTCAACCTTTAATTAGCACATGATTATTGGTTGAAAGTCACCTTATGCGTTCACTTAGTTAAAATTTGTGTACGATGCGCACGATGATTTTGTTCTTGTATAAATCTTGTTTTATGCAGGTACCCTGGCATTACACGGATGTGTCTATGACATATTCCACTGTGTGATTGTTATTTGTGTATATTGTATGAAATGTGTTTCATGCAGGTGTATTTTTGATATTCGGATGGGTCCGCCATGCATTCCAATCTTGACTTGTTTGATGCATTAACGCTTATGCTGATGGTATTTTCTTTATTGGTAATAGCAGCTCGCGAGGTTCTCGGGTTTCTTTGTTATCGCTTAGCATTTACGGATTGCTATCCATTTGGTACATCTCCATTATATTTTTTTTTGCATCTTATTGCTTTCTAGAGATCATGTCAAGTAGGCTTTTATCGCTTTCCTTGCCATGAGAAGTAGGAATAGAGATGTATGACGGGGATCACCATTGTTGATCATGTCAGGAATCCCTCTGGTTTATTTAAAGACTCGTTTAGGGAAATTCTATATATGTGCCTTGTGTGCTACTTGTGCTTGTTTAAAATCCTACCTTTAGAGTAGGTATTCTGCCTGTGTGTTTACATTTGTGCTCGCATATTTCCCCACCCCAATAAGTCCTCAAAAGGAGGCGAGCAAAAAGGGTTCACAATCAACCCCCACACTTCGTCTGTGTCATCCTTAGCTCACGTTTTACGTTGATGCTTTGGATTTGTGCAGATCATGTGTATCGAGTCGGTCATGTGGAAATGGGTTTTATAATGAAACCCCCACCATTTATCAGGAGTTCGCAATGGCCATTGCTGACACTTTACCACCCGCTTGTTTGCTTCGGGTGATCCGCCCCCTTAGCTAAAGTAATGCTTTTCTTTTTTTATTTCATCTCAGTCTCCCGCTTGTTTGCTTCGGGTGATCCGCTCCCTTTAGCTAAAGCATTTTCTCTTAATACCCCCCATCTCCTGAGTCAGTTTACCCCAATTGTGTGATTTTGCCAAAGCACTTGTTTGATATGCCTTGCTCCCTTAGGATTACTCGTGTAGGATTATTCCTCGAGCTGGACATTAGGATATCTATCCATGTATGTTCACTTAAGTAGATATTTTCCTTTCTTCCTTTACGTAGGGACATCATTGTATGACTACACTAGGACAAGAGATTAGGATAGTCTCCCTTAGTTTTTTTTTCATATTGCATCTTAAAACAAAAAATTTCTTTTTCTTGGCAAATCATAAAACATATCTAATGAACTTAAATAATTCTTCAAGGTAAAAATATAAACCAATCTTAATTATTTGTGTGCCTTTTGGCTTTGTTTTAAACCTTATTAAGTTGCCATCTTACCGCCTTTACCATGATATTTTGCTATCTTTGTATCGATGTTTCACCATCACATATGTTTGTTATCCTACTTTGATTTTTAATATCATTGTTAGGTGTGATGTTTTATCATCTAAATTGATGTTTTGTCATCCTTACCATGATATTTTTCTATCTTTGTGTCGATGTTTCGTCATCGCATAAGTTTTTTATCCTACTTTAACTTTTAATATCATTGTTAGGTGTGATGTTTTATCATCTAAATTTTAATGTTTTGCCATCCTTGCCATGATATTTTTCTATCTTTGTGTCGATGTTTCACCATCGCTTATGTTTGTTATCCTACTTTGATTTTCAATATCATTGTTAGGTGTGATGTTTTGCCATCGTTGTTGAGGTTTTGCCATCATTGTCGTTATCCTGTCATTTGTTGATGTTTTTCATCATATATAATGTTTTGCCACTGTGTTTATTGCTTTTGTCTTTTTAACTAAAAAATACAAACCAACCAAAAAATTTGAGCCGAACTAAGGCTGCTCTGATTCCTTAAAAGGGATATGTAGGCAGAGGCTTTTTGTGGGGCCTAATCGAGCATATCTTCGTAAAAATCTCTTTCTTTTCCCCACACTTTCATTTAATTTTCTTTTGCATGCATTCCCCCTTTATTTTTTACTTTGAACCATAGAAATAGACTTTAAACACACCCATTAGATTAGAATAACAAGAGTGTATACCATAGAGTACTACAGGCGTGTGGGGTGCTAATACCTTCCCCTCACATAACAAACTCTCTTACCCGATCTCTCAGTCGTTTGATTGTGATTTCACCCTTTTCAGGTTTACTCGATGTTTACCTTTCCCTTCCTGTGGGATAAAAAACGTTCGATGACGACTTCATTGATTTCATATCAGTTGATGGTTCAACCAATTGTTTCACTTGGAGACTTCACTGGGAAAGGTCGACCAAATGCTGGTCCATCTCTAAGTCGCTCCTAGCTCTTGTTTTCTTTTCTTTGGGTGTTTATTTTATGTGTCTTACAACTTTTCTCATTTCATACATGTTTACCTGAGCATATATGTGTATTGCATTTTACTTTTACCATATACTATTGATGTGTTGTCTCTGTTTCATGATGGATGGGTGTTAGAAGAGGTATAAATGGTGACTGTTATATTCTGTCGGTGACTGTTTGGTTCTCAGATTTTTTTCCTGAGATTCTGATCTGGTGTCTCTGAGGTTTCTTTGAATGGTGTTTCGGACCTTTGATCCTGGTATTCACGGTGTAGTCAGAAACAACACAATGGCTAGTATTGGGATTGCCTTGGTTCCATTATCATTGTATTTTCATCATAGCATATTTAGTTTTACAAATAAATGTACAAAAAATATGTGAAAGAGAAACTAATGTGCATATGCATACCATTTCCAGTTTGATATGTGGTTGTCATCAAGAATGGATGATAACACCGGTATAGGAAAAGAGCTGCTCAAGAATACATCTTGTTACCATTTTCATGGTTTTCCGCTTGCTTAGTTGAAAGAATTGGGTTTTCTTGTGATTGGTCCGAATGAGAAAACGTTCAGAGCTAGATACGGGAATCTGTTTCCATTATTGTATGATGGTTACGAACATTGGGTTATGGTATCTCTTATGCAATTTTATGATCCTATGTTGCGTTGCTTTACATTCCAAGATTACCAACTAGCACCAATGCTTAAGGAGTATGCGTACATACTTGATGTCAAGATTCTGAGTTGCACACCATTTATTTGCTTTCCCTAAGTCCCTGATTATGTGGCTATCGCTAAGGATCTTTATTTGAACCTTAGCAATGTGAGAAGTAATTGGGCAATAAGAGATGACATACCTAGTTTTCATTTGGACTTTTTGGTAGCCAAAGCTAGAGAGTTTGCAAGAAACAATGATTGGATCGCGTTCAATGCGTTACTAGCCTCCATGATCTATGGCATCATCCTATTGCCTAATATGGAGGATTTCGTAGATTTCTCAGCCATATGTATGTTCATGAACAAAAATTCGATGCTGACGATTCTTGCCAATACTTACTATGCCATTCATTCCCGGAGTAGCAAGAAAGGGTGTGTTCTCTGTTGCATTCCTCTTCTTTACAAATGGTTCATGTCGCACATGCCCACCAAGGGACCATTTGTTGACACTGCAAACACTCTTTTCTGGCCACGAAGGATTATGGCTCTTACTAATTATGATGTCGTCTGGAATAACATAAGGGGCGTAAAATAAATCATTATAAGTTGCGGAAGCCTCC